GGGTGGATCATCATTTGCCGAGTAGCCTAATGCTTGACAAGAAACATTTGATATCCCTTCATCACGTATTCCTACCACATTTTTAACTGTTGTTTACAATACTTATAAAAATTCGGATCATTCTTGATATAAGAGATTGTGAGAACATCTGGTGTTTGAAAGGTTACTGCGTTTCCTAATAATGTACCTTGAAGCAAGAAGGTAACCAGGATGATGATGACTTTGCCAAGCATGACAGCTTTTGGATGTTATACTGTAACTAATTCTAACAGTAAGATCAAAGAACAAAAAAGCTTATCGATTTATTTACTTGGTTTATTTGCAATGTTATGAATTTGGTTGAATAAAAGCAAGTGATTTATTTGATAAAAATTTTTATTTCTCCCGAGTATTTAACAGAAAGGTATGTACACAAGAAATCATATATATATCTTCTTGTAACGCCAGAACATATAGAAAGAACGGTTTAAGTTATATGCAAGAAATTTACTACGCATGGTGATAAATTACATGAATAAATATATGTTACTATGTTGATTGGTACCTTAAACTATTCTTTCTAGAAATGACTCAAAAGAAATATAAACAAAAAAAATTCAATTTGCTTCGCGAAAAATTACCCAATTATTCAAATTTGTGCCAGATTAAAATAATTATAATTTCGTTAATACCTATCTAACATAGGATTACACCCTAATGAAGCACCGCATTTAAATTTCGTTCGATGTAAAAATGAAAATATCATATTTAAACTTTGTTCTGACTTTTAGTCCGATTCACATACAGTATACAGTATAAGTTAAATAATTCACTATGCATGATATCAGATGTACAAATTACGATATAACTTTTTCTAATACATTGATATATATGTGTTTTATTTTTGTACGTATGACGCAAGTACACAAAAATTCGATCACGGTTTTTTTAAACTGAATATTCGAAATTCAATAAACATTTGTCAGTATATACAAATTTAGAATAGATCTTGATACAGTATTTTGCTTATTTCGAACAGTACTTCAACAGTGGCTTAACAGTAGTTTAAACATTAATACTGTAATATCGATATAGTAAGAGTCGTTGTAGAAAAATTTTTATTATTAATATTAGCAGTAACAAGTTGCACAAAATTAGATATAAGGTTTTGTGTCAGAATCATTTCTCATGGTCGATTTTTTGATTTATAACGAATATTATGAATTATATCTAGACCATTTTCTTATTATATAAGATCCCACGATAAGAATGGGACTTAAAAAGGCTATAAGGGCAATGAGTATAACATTCTTTATCAGTAGTTTATCAAACTTCATATGTCGCAGGAACTTGGAATTCCCAGATCGTCGAGATCGTTAACTTTTTCACTTCGCAGGAGCGATCGTCGAATCTAAGGGGCTTAATTTACCTAAAAAACAACAAAATAGATTAGTATTTAGAACTTATGACCGAAACGGAGTTGCTTTGTTAAGTGTGGTCTGACAGTGTTAGAGTAACGTAATTACTAAGCTTGTGATTTTTCTTCTGGCAGGTTCTCTAGATCTAACGAATGGACGGTATAAATAAGCAAACTCCCGCCCACAAGATAAGTTAGCAATAACGTTATTTTTTGCTCATATATATTTTTACTCGGTTCACTTGCCCGTATTTTTTTAAGTAATTTGCTATTTCATTTAACGGAGACTATGAAAACGAATTTTTGCTTACTTCGATTTTTTGTATTTAGAAACGAAAAATGAGCGCTAACGATAACACCACCTTCAAGACCAACAATACCCCCAAGACCAATGATAACACCACTTTCAAGACCAATGGTAGTAATGCCCCCAAGACTAATGACTCCAATCCAGAAAACGATCAAAAAAAGCTATCTGGTGTGGGCATAATTCTTGATCAAATTCTGTGTAATTATCCTGGTATCAACCCTATAACATTTTCAAAAGTATTGAAAATTCGCGGTTACTATGGCTTTTGATTTTTTATTCGTATTTGTATTATTTTATTTGTATGTTCCCATTCTGGCAAAAAAAAATTTTATTAAATAAAGAAAGGGGCCCTGTGGCCTTCTCAAGTTTTATTTTTACGTAATTTTTGCAATGCAATTTACGATTATTAATTGGTGGAAATAATAAAGTCATACCTAGTTTCCTTATTAATCTATGCTTTTACGGTTACTATTGGGATTGAATTCTGATATATAAAAGGTATAAGAATAAAACTGAATTCGATCTTTGGATAAAGTCTGAAAATCTGGAACCCCCACAAAT